CGGTATTATATATAATATATATATGTATTGTATAAATATGTATTCTTATTAACTTTTTTAGAATATCCCTTTTTTAGCAAACTCCCTTCATTATCTTGGTCAACTCTTTCTAAACTAGCATTTGTTAATCTCTAAATGGAACAAAAAATTCCAGAACATTTGTAATTTTTATTAGTAAGCTTGGATTTGAGATATAATAACTCTAAGAACTGAATATTTAAAATCTTACATATAAAAATTCTATCTACAGTAGTCAGAATAAAAAGAGTTAACTACTATAAAATATAAGAACTTTAAATATATTAAAATATATTAAATACTGTATAATTTTATACGTTTGGAATATAAAAACTCAACTTTTGATAGCATCAATTGGTTTATTTTATTGCAACAGGCTTTTATTGTTTGTAAAGTTATTGTGGGATAAAATTCTCTTAAATAATGTAAGAGCTTAATGAGAGTAGGAATCATTATTCCCAAAGTGGAATATTGGATTCCTCTAATATATCTAGTTGCTTGTGTGAAAAGATGTAAAAGTTTTGCTAATTTATCTATTGAATTCTATTCTTCTGTTAATAGAAGAAGGTCAGAAAGTTTTGTTCCATCTTGTCGTTCTTGTCTATTAACATTTTGTTTTAAGTTATTAGCCAATCTTACAATATCATTATGAAGAAGAAAAAGATTTTTTAAAAGATTATAAGTTGAACTCCAACGAGTTCTTGTATCATTTAAAAGAGGATTAACTTGGTGCTGCAGATTTAATTCAGCTTGTAATTCACGAAGGCTTTCATGATATTTATCTTTACCACTGATATAACTATTTAATATTTTTGCTTTACTTATTAAGTTACTAATTTCCGTAATATCAAATCTATCTCTTAATGCAAGTTGTATTGTATGCACAGTGCAATCTAGATGAGAATTAAATTTTGTACAAAGGTTTTACTGGAATTTATATAAATAGAATCAAGAATTATCACTGTTTTTGAATTAGTGCGATCATTGAATTTTGTAAATCTCATAAATCTTACATATCACTATTGCTAAAGCAATAGTGATATGCAAGATTCGTGAGATTTACAAAATTCAATGATCGCACTAATTCAAAAACAGTGATAATTCTTGTAAAGTGATTTTATTTACCTATATGCTCAATACCAAGTTGATCTATGGCTTTAATTATTGAAAAGGCATTATCCGTTGAAGCACCTAAAAGTTTCTCATATATTCACTATTTGTCAAAAAGTTGGCGACAAAAATCTTCAATTCGATCCCCAGTGTGAGGGTAATCAAATTTTTGAATTGTAAGT